CTACCCAATTTTAACATGCACAATAAAAACTCTTTATAATGCAATATTATGACCATATTTCAAGAAATTTTGTGAATGCTTGTGATGGAAAGAAATTAGATAAAAATAAAAATAAATAAACTATATATATATATATATATATATATATATATGAATGGAATCAAACGTTTTGAAAGTATAGAAATTAAAATTAACAAAATTTAAAGTTACATGAATTAAAATGAATTGAAAATACAAAAACTAGAAACAAATTCGAAAATACAGTAAATACCTTGGGGTGAAAAAGAAAGGATTGAAAGACGTGTGGGTTGATATATTAATTTTGGGTAGGGGCTACCAAGGGCTCACACCACTTATCCTTCCCCATGTTTTGTGGGAAAAGTTAAAATTAAAAAATAAAAAGAAAGTATTTTTTGTTTTTTATTTTTTGCTCTCCTAAAATTTGAAACAATGACAAGAGAAAATGGTACGTGCATGGGAGACAAAGGACAAGCCAAGAACATAAGAGACAGCAAACAAGACATGTACTTCGAACGAACATTTTCATTGTTTTCCACTATTCAAATGCTTACATTTTTCACAAGGATGTGTCTTTATTCCTAAATAATAAATTATTGTTTCTAAAAATATATATACACTAACGTAACTTTTTTGTATTTGAATTTTGAGCTATAGATTTGTTTACTTCTTATGTTTCAAAACCATGCACTTTCTAATGGGCTTTTTAAATTCGGGTCAGTCGTTTGTCCCTACAACATTTAGTACCCAAAAACACATAGAAATTAATTTCTAAATTGGATGATCATCACCGAGTATAAATCCACTCCCTCTCAATTTACTCAGCTAGTCACTTTTGACCAATGAACAACCCATGATGGTTTAAAAAATACTTTTTAGTATAAATGAAGTCATTTTTGACGCATTCTGAGCCTAAAATGATTCATAAAACTTATCAAAGTTGTAGAAATAGGTTATAATTAGAGTATATGAATCGATGTGGATATTGGGTAACCATACATTATCGCAATAGGATTTCATACATATATATAACATTAGTGTATCACATGATGAATACCATGATATTAGAACCATCGTGGTCTACTCGAAATAAAGATATCTACCATGTTAGATTTTTGAGAGAACTATAAAAATTAGGTTAAATGTATGTTTTAGTTCTTAATATTTGAGTGTTATTTTCAATTTAGACCTATAGTTTAACAAATTCAATTTAATCGCTTGTACTTTTACGTGTTTTGATTTATTCTCTCACCATTAGTAAATATTAAAATTGGCCGATGACAAACTTACATAGCATAATACTTAGTGAATTAGTGGAAATTGAAAGGAGTAAAAATGTCATCTAAAAAAGAAAATTTCATAACACGTGCCAACCATGAGAGACTAAATTAATAAATATTAGAATATAAGGAGCCAAATTGAAACTTTATAAACAATAATTACTGAATTGGAAAAACATTAAAAAAATATTAGATACTTGAACATAAATTTAGCCTAAATATCTCATTTAGAAATTAGAAGTAAACTTATTTTCATTACCTAAAAAGAAAAAAGGAACAAACTAAGAAGTAAGCTATAGTATCTGACATGTCTTGTTTAAAAAGTTACCCAATATCTTATTTTTGTAAAAATATTAAAATGCTTACACATTAAAGAAAAAAGCCTAATTTTAGGAAAATATTTTTTCTATTTCTAGACTTTAACCTATTGAGTAAAAAAATTCATCTCTTGGGTAGTCATGACATGTCATTGTTGCACTTTGTTTATACAATTATTACATGCAAACTCCTTCGACGATAGATACAATCATAGCTATTAGATCACGACTTTTTTTTTTTCAACTTAATGTAGTAACTCTACAGCCAACCTGAACATGACTCAATAAATTAAGGCATTTATGTTCGACCAAAAAAATATGAGTTTGAATCTTCCATCCTACAATACGGTACAATGTGGTACTAACTTTTTTTTTATTAATAATATATGCCTTAAACATATTAGTTATATTCTAGTGGCTAGATCACGATATTTTATGAATAATGATATTAAATATTTCATATAATTAACTATTATCGGTGGATCATTGGTCCAAAAGGCTATGATTAATTGAGAAGGAATATGCTCAAACTTCATGATGTCACTTATCTTAAGAATTAATTTCTATATGTTCCCAGCACAAAATATTGTAGGGTTAGACGATTGTTTAATAAGATTGGTCACTAAATTACGTTCATATATTTTCATATTTATTTATTTTTTTGTCAATAAACTTTCCAATGTTCTATTTTATTCTCTCAACTTTCAAATATTCTAAATAGTTTCTAAATTAACAAAAAAATCATTTTAATTCTAAATGGTTAATTTTCATTAATCATTTAACAAAAATCTAAATCAATTCCAAATATTTTCTCATATATACATTTATTTGTCTATATGTACATATTTGGTAAATTACTTGACAGATAATTCACAAATAAAAATTTAAAATGACTAAAATAGTTTTTTAATGTAAATTTTGATACATCAAAAGAAACCAAAGATAAAACGGAGTTTACTAAAATAAGATTTAAACTTATAATTTATTGACTTTCTTATATTACACCGCAAATAAATTTGAAAAAAAAAATCAAACTTACAAATTAATAAGAAATATGACTAATTTTTCTGTCCAAATATAGATGAAAAATAATAAAATTTGAAATAATAAATAAAAATTTCAATTAATGCTTTTAAATAAATAGTATAGAAAATTTTTAAGAGACTAAAACAATGTGATTAAAAATTCTACAAATATTTAGAAATTTTTATTCTAGATGTTTATGAAATGGGTTTTTTAACGCAAAAAGCGGTAGAAGTTCGAATTCACACCTTTTTAGTTTATAATATATCTCTTAATCAAGTTCGTCTCATGCCTAATCTCTAACTAATTTAATTGAGAGAAAAAAAATATAGGTTAAAAAAAATATATATATATATATATTTTAGATTTTACCAAAATATCCTAAGTGGGGCCCACATTGAAAGGATGAGGCCAAGGGCATGGCCGTGGGGCGTGGGTAGAGATACTGTTCTCATTCAATACGTCTCCTCCGGATTCGTGCCGAGTCGCGTACAGCTGTATCCCACGACTCACTCTCCGAGTTGACTCGCCATACTGTCAGAAACCAGAATTTTCAATTTTAAACAACAAATTTAGTAAATTTTTCTTTTCCAAAGTAATGTGTTATCATTTTTAAAAATATACACAATTTTGGTATTGGAAAAATTCTATTTTTACCTAACAATTTTTCCTCTTGGTTTAATATCTCACCGATCATCAGTTCAAATCCCTCAACTTTTTATCGTAGGAAGAGAAAGAGAAGAAGCGTTGAATGAATTTACAAATTCAAAAATTAATTCTAAGTCAATAAGAACATAATTTAGAGGTTACAATATTTAAGAATTTGTTTGATTTGTTTGATGATGATACTTTTTTTTCCTTGTTTTTTCATTTCCAATTTCTTTAGGAATATAAGTGTTCGGTGACGGTTCATATATCTTATTTATTTTTAATAAATATTTTCTAAAATTATGTAAAACTTTTAAAAATAACATAACCAAGTTTGTTGTTTATTTATTTCCCTTTTCAATTTTTTTTCAAAACATAGATAAAAATATTATTTTATCATTTTTTACTTATAAAATACCTCATAAATATAACATAAAATTTTAAATATTTAATTTTCAAATAAAACTTTTACTTTTTTTTTTTAATTTAAAATTTTAGGTAACAACAATAAAAAAAAGTAATTACAAACATGTTTAAGTTTTTATTTTAATTGAAAAGAAAAAAAAAGAAACAATTGTTTTTTTTAATATGAAATTAAAAACAATAAACAATAATGTTATCCAATGGATCATACTTTTCTTCAAGGTTGGTGGTTTAAATCCCACCCCGCATTCTACTTTAAAAATTCACTAATTTGAAAAAAATTAAAAATTAAAAATAAAATCCTCTCAAAATTTACTAAATTTAACTTGGATGATGCACAAGATTGGTCATTTGAATAAATTTCGCTTTAATTCTAGTGTTGTTTTTTTTCCTAAGGCTTTGTCAATTTTGTACCATACATGTTTTATATATTCATTCAATTTATTAGAATACTTTTTAAACCGATTCTTCAAATTGAAATTTTATTAAAAATTAAAAACTGCAACCCTTATTCAAGTTTAAAGCGGGGAGTGTAACACTTATCCAATTTTAAAGTTTTATTTGATGAAATTGAATGTTTAAAAGTAAAATTTAATACATCTTACCGAGTTCAACAATAAAAATGGAGTTTTTTCCTTCTAAAAATCGTATGCTTTTAGATTATTCTAGTATTTCAATTATTGTGACTTTCTATTTTTCATTTTCAAGATTTTTATTTGTAAATTTTTATAATTATTTTATATTTAATTTTTTTATGTGAAATTTTTTCTTAAGGAATTGAAGTAATTTTCATCCACATTGGATATATCGCCTTTTTTATCTGTTTTCCCATATACCATTATAAATATAGCAACAACATAAAAATTTTAAAAATACCTCATTTCCCTCGCAAAAGGATTTGTGAGGTAACTATTCAAAGACTCATGTTTGTTGGATCCGACATTGATATAAGAGGTAAATCAACATTTTTATAATATTACAAAAAAATTGATAAAATATATAAAAAAAATCACTAATCATAAAAATTCTTAACTTAAATTTTTCTTTTTTTAGGTTCACCAATGTATGAGAATAGGATACAAACATCCGATTTTTCGATCGAAAATATACACCTTAAGAAGTTGAACTATGCTGAAATACTTATTTTAAAAAATTTATTACAGTGTATTTCAACTTTTATCTCTAAATTTAATACAATATCAAGCATTTCATTCCTTGCTTCATGGATAAAAATAGAGCTTTAGCATACAATATATAGTCTTTTCCCTTTTTTAAAAGAAGAAAAAATATATGCATTTTGAACACTCTTCATATACAAATAAAATTTCAACTTTTAGAGTAATGGTGAAGCAAGAAGTGAAGTGCTGATCCGAATTTACAAATAAACCCCCCTTCAAACCTCAAAATACCTTATTTACCCCACCAAGAGTTGACCGTTGACGGTCTGCTCAAGTCAAAACTATGCAGTAGTAGACCTTAGAAGATGAGTCAACTCGTGGGCCCGGTCCACTCTAGCTCCGGTTCAAACTATCCCACAGCGTAGAACACTGTCGCCGGGCGAACCCGACCCGGTTCTTTTCCAAATCATAAACCACCTCAAAACCCTGTTGTTGATAATTCCCAAGCGTGGCCCCGGGCCCACCGGCCAGCTCTGCCTCATCTCCACCGTTCATCAGCATCAGACACCCG